TTGGCAGCCTGCAAGCTCATAACGTACATTGGGTACTGCAGCATTTATGCCAGTCTGCTGACTGTGACTGTGCTCAGTGTTCAGCGTTTCCTTCAGGTCGTTCACCTGCAGAGGAGTTTAAATCTAGTGAAAGCAAGGTTGCTGCTGGCTCCTCTCTGGCTGGCTTCGATGACCCTGTCCATCCCCGCTTTAGTGGTTCGATGCCTGGACAAAGATCAGCACTGGACACGTTGCAAACCTCACTACTCCTCCAAGAGTCAGAGGGTAGCTGTGGTGTTGACAGGACTCCTGATAGGAGTTGTGTCATTTTCTGTCATGGCTTTTTCATACATCAGTCTCTACAGAAAGCTGAATCGAGCAGCCTTATTCAACAATCCACAGACCACCAGACTGATTACCAGCATCATAGTGACTGTATTTGTCCTGTGGGTACCATATCGTGCCATGAATGTGGTGGAGATTGCAGCTGTTTCCCTCGATAACAAATCCTTGTTAAAGTTTAGCGAGGACACCTGGAACGCTTTCGCCTCTGTAACATTTGTAAACAGTGCCGTAAATCCACTCCTGTATGCCTTTACTTCTAATCGTTTGTTCAGTCTTTGCCAAAAAAATGCTGAACATTTAGCGGAGAAGTTCAAATTTCCCCAAAATCTGTCTAAGTCAACAGATGTCACTGAAGAAGCAGCACCTCAATGTTGAACATCTTTGGAGAATAATTTTTGCCCTGCTGATACTGGAAATTATATTTTGAGTCAAAATATCTCCTCTCTCCTTCTGATACGCACAGGGTCCTCTTTATTTGTCACAGCCAACTGTTGGTGATTGGTGATTGAATCATGAATTTCAAGGTTAAGCAACATCTCCCCTCAAATCAATCGTGCGCTGATTACATCTGGTCCTCAGCCAGAGCTTAAAAACACATGATTGTTGAAACGGAACGAGGCAAACATTCAATGGAATCAAAGTACCTATCAAATTACATATAATTACAAAGAATTTCATCTGAAATTATAATGTAATCTCCATTAATCTGAGACAGCTGGGAAATTGAAGTAATCATATCTATGACAGTGACACTAGCTGATATCAACCATTCCCTGGCTTGATGACAATCAAAGCAGTTTCTACATGTTTTTAATTTTCTCCTGTTGAGTTTGGGTGTTTTTGTGGACTTTATATCCATCAGCCGGTCGGAAGAAACAACAATTAATGAAAAGACTGAATAAATGTTTTCACTGGAGCTCCTCCATCAACAGGAACAGCCTCCGGTCTGTGATGTTACCAACAGAAAGGACAGAGAGAGTGCTGCTCTAATACAACAAGCAGATGTGTGTAAACTTAATTATCCTTCCATTAACTCATCATTTCACTTTTATTTTGTTAATACATTTGTTTTTATTCATGGGCATTTTAAAATAGTATGAAAACAGGCACATTGTACCATTCCATTAAAGGCATATAAAGGGAATTTTAAAATTCAAAATGGTGAATGGTTTTACCAAAAGTGCAGTTATCACAGGTAGAGGAAGTACCTGTATGTTCTTCCTATTAAGAGTGGGAACACAATGAAAAATGATTTCCCCATAGCTTTAAATGTTCTGTAATAGTTTAAATGTTTATTAGAGAAAGTTTTGTGAATTCTGAATGTTTATATTTATCTAAGTTCATGAGGATTTGATGAGAACACTGAAAGCACCTTCATTTATGTACTGTAAATGCAAAGCTAGCAGCTGGCTAACTAGAGACCGACCCAGGTTCAGGTTACCTAACTCAACAATAAGGTAACATGTTTCTCGAATACTATATAGTATCATTATGGGTACAGAAAAGTACTTAAATGATCTCCTATAATTCTCAATTATATTTAATACTGATGTGATATATTTATAAATTAGCTCTAGTTTGCTCCAAAACCATTGCATAGTTTTGGTTCCACAGTTTATCATATTATACAAGTGTGTTACGCACACATATACTGTTACAAGGTAACTGTGTGTGTGTGTGTCCGCTTCATAGTAGTATATATAACCCACAGTTCAGCAAAGATGACTTCCAGAGAAATTGATTTGTATTTTAAAGGCTTCACTTTGTTACTTCCACAGCATCTGCGATTATATTTGTGGAAATTCTCAATAAAACTCTGCATTGTTCTTCCACTGAAATGTTTCAGGATATTTGCACTGATATGTTTGATTAGCCAAGTCACCCTTTTTATGCTCTCAGGCTTTATGGACAGCTGTCTTGTTCAACCTGTAACCTCAGTACAAAACTCTGTCTAGACACTACTGGTAAATCCATCCCACCCAAAGGGTCAGGACTACTGCGGGAGAGAATGTGGTCGGTGATTCAGTATTTCCCCCAGCTGTTCCTTTGGGCCCAGGCGAGGTTTTCTCCTGCCTCTTGTAAGGAACAGAAGAAACTCTTTCCCATCCAAGTTTGACTTGTCTGGTCTCTGTGCCAAGATGCTCATTAAAGATTTTCACAACGTGTAACACACACTTTTGGTAATCAAAAGGGAGTTTTCTGGACTGGCAAAGCAAGAAAACATGCAAAGCTGAATCATTTTTAAACTTGGATGCAAAGTCTTGAATACAAAACAAAATGACAAAAGTTGATAACTAAACATATCTTGGCAAGAAGTCTGAGAGCAGAAGAAACCAAACGATGTATAAAAAATAATAATACAATATTTATTTTAAATAAATATATATTATATATATTAAATAAATGTTTCAAGTCCTTTAACTCCTCACTGATCAATAATGCAAAGTTATAAAAAGTCAGCATCATCTGTCTGCTCTCCTAAATAAAATACTGAAAAAAATTAGGGAGGACCAAACAAACTTACTATTAAAAACCATTACAAGCTATTAAAAAAAAAATAAAGAAAACATCAAATTTAAATGTTATTACAGCGTCATGTTTGCAATTTTATTTCATCAAACTGGGACTGTTGCTGGGGGCCAGGTTCAGCTTATTGGTCTGGGCATCCACAACAGTCCCAGTTTCTTATGTGAGCCAATTTTCTCATTGGGAAAATTTAATTCTCGCCCTTGACACATCTAAAGGGTCACAGAAAAAGGCTTAAAGTGATGTAATGACTACAGACTGCACAATATCAGTGAAACTCAGTGATTTGTGACAATGAGAGGCAGAACAATTGTTAGCGATGCAAAGTGGGATCAGCTTTGATTGCTGAAGTGACTGCCCATAGGAGTGAATGATACCACTGATTGACAAGTTGTTTAACACATCAGAGATTTACCTTCATGACCAGAGCTTGAACATCCAATAGCAATTTAACCTTTAACTACAAAGCGATGAGAGCGACTCACTTCATATATGGACAAAAATCATAAAGGACTATAAAGTGTGAAGACTGGTTCCTTCTTAGATCTCTCCATGCTACCATGCAGCCAGCTAGCTCCTGACTGTAGCACGGTCTTCCTAAAATAATATTTATATTTTTAAACCGGATGATTGAATTTGTAGAAATAAGGAAACAAGCCATTGACACAAGGTCACAGTTCTCCATATAAAATCATCAAAATGTATTCAGTAAGTGGAGTCCAGTCTATGGGGAGCTAGAGATAACAGCATTTTATTGCCCTAGGACAATTGATGACTCACTGTTGCCTGCTCAGTGCTATCTTCTCACGCATCTCAGATTTGCTTTTCTTTCCCCCACATCCCTCAATTACTAATCTCTCCTCTGCTTTCCAGCCCTTTATTTAACTCTTCTTTCTTTTTGTCTTCAATTCCTCCGTCCCTGAACACCGTCTCTAGAGTCAACAAAACAAAAACAACAGCCCCCTCTCCCAGTAAGAAACTTACAGCTGCCAGGAGAAGAGGTGAGGATAGAAACATGACTGAGGAAAAAGCAAAGAAGAGAAGAGGAGATGGTTTACCTTGGCTCACTCTGTGTCTCATAATAGAGCTTTTCTGTTTTCTGTCCAGCTGTAATTCTTAGTTTTAGTGGGAGACTGCAGTTAAATGAAAATACCCCCCACAGCACCAATCTAAGAGATTTCGGGTTCAGTGTGACCTCTTGAGAATGAATCTGATAAAGTTTGTCTGAGATCTCCAGCTGTAAGCACAAATCAACAAAGTAAGGTAAATAGAGCCGCAAACTGTTTGGATCTTGACAAAAAGGGTTTGTTAAGAGAGTAGGTTCGTGGGATGAAGCAGACAGAAGAAATGTCTTGCAATGAGTGTCAGAGTGTGTTTGTCTGTTTGGTTAATTCTTCATGTGCATACATGTCACCGGGTGAGGTACACAGACATTCCAATTGGTTTGTTTAATAGGTATGAAACTGCTTGCACTGACAGCTATAATTATGCCATAACATGCCTACAAAATATGACCTTAAAATTCTTTGAGATAAATTCATATCATGTTTTCATATTTACCTTTTTTATTGTGGCTCAAACAATCTGACGGCTTCTTAGCTTTTTCTTAGCAGTGCATAGCTTGAACGTCAATATTTTGTATGACCACCTTTAGCCTTCAACACAGTCTGAACTCTGACAAATTCTAATGGTGCTTTTGTGCACTCATAATTCCATCACCGTTGACAAGATCCCCAACACCACCGGCTCAAATGACGCCCCAAACCATGAAAGAGCCTCCACTGTGTTTTACAGATGGCTGCAGACACTCACTGTTGTTCCAGTCTGTTGACCTCGGCCTTATATTCTCATTACAATTTGAAATAAAAATGTCAGATTCAATTTATTAGTCGATGAGACCTGTGGCCATGTGGCCAAAGGTCATGACTTTCAGACTGAGTTCATCGGCTGTATTTTTAGGCCTGCCACTTTTCTTCAGTTCTCCACTTGTTCAGTTTCCTCAAACGTTTTAAGGATGCACTACACACCATGCAGAGATATACCAAATGTTTTCCTAATAGCTCTGTGAGAATCACATTTTTGGTGAAGAAAAAAATAAAATTTTATGCCTGTAAAACTGTGTTATGTTTGGCATTTTTTGTCAGTTCAAATAAATAAGTCAGAACAAATTATTTGTTGTTGCTGTTAGCAAAAAGTGCAGAAAGGTCTCATTTCAAATCTTTACAGTTGTCTGTAATGCGTAGGCACAAAACTGGTTCATCCTTTGCGTTAGGGGCAGGGACAGCTCAGTAAGTAGGGTGTTCACCCCATGAACTACCTGCTAAGTTGGGGGTTCAAATCCACAGAAAGGCTACCCTGAGGTACCCCTGAGCAAGGTACCGTCTCTACACACTGCTCCCCGGTGCTGGATTGGTGGCTGCTCACTGCTTCACTGAGTGAATGGGTTAAATGCAGAGGACTAATTTCCTACGGGATTAATAAAGTATACATTATTTAGGCGCTTTTTAATAGTTGAATAATTCATAGCTCAGTGTTAAAAGGCTCAAAAAAAGCCCATGAAAAAAAATATCATTCCTCTGCAAATGTTAAGGTTCAAGAACTGGACTTAAAATGATTAAAACAGCAGCCAATGTCCAAAGAATAACTTTTAAAAGCAGGAGTTGGCAGTTTAATGGCCTTGTGTTTCACACTGTATTCTGTCTGTAAATATCAGCACATGTCACTGCTGGTGAAGAAGCATCTCCATGCAGATATACAGATGCATGCATTTGAGTATTCTGTATATTAAATGTATTATTTAAGCCAACCAAAGCTGTCGTTGTTGCATCATCTCCTATCACCATTACTTC